AAATGAATTTAGCTTGGTCATTTCCCAGATATGCTAGTTTTCTATTTGCAGAGAATTTTTCAAAACCACATCCCCCACCAGCAGTTGAAGATGATTATTTTCCATCATTCCAAGGCAGGCCTAAATCTACAGCAGAGAAGCAGGATTTTTTGTTGTGAGGGTGGTAGATTTTGAGCTTCAAAGCAAAGCATGATTCTCTGAGTCAATTGTTTTTTGGAAACCAGAACTGTGGCCATCACCTCTGAATATAACCTGCTATATTCTTTCAATCTGTAAATGAATAATGTGAGGTACATTAATAGAAGTGGTTAAGGCATCAGGCTAGAAACCAGGAGACCGTGAGTTCTAGTCCTGCCTTAGGCACAAAGCCAGCTGGGTGACCTTGGGCCAGTCACTTTCTCTGAGCCCTAGGAAGCCCGCAATGGCAAATCACTTCCGAAAATGTTGCCAAGAAAACTGCAGGGACTTGTCCAGGCAGTTGCCAGGAGTCAACACGGACTCAAAGGCATTAAAAAAAAAAAAAAGCCTAATGCAATACTTTGTCCCCTTGCTTCGTTACCATTTCCCAGATATGCTAGTTTTCTATTTGCAGAGAATTTTTCAAAACCACATCCCCCACCAGCAGTTGAAGATGATTATTTTCCATCATTCCAAGGCAGGCCTAAATCTACAGCAGAGAAGCAGGATTTTTTGTTGTGAGGGCCATCAACCATGAGAACATTGTGGAAAGGGGAAGGACTAGTTCCCCCCCCCACACACACACGCACACAAGAAAGTTTGACCTCTTCTCTTCTTCCTCAGTACCATTCATAATTATGCATCTATGCAAAGACAGTACTCAACTCTGTGATGTTTGAAAAGCCCATCAAATGTCTGTTTTGTAATCAGAGAATGGAAATGCACCGAATGGGTATTCTCTGAAGGAAAGTCTGTGATGGGGCATTCAAAGTGCATTTCTTCCTATGGGCTTTCGGGGGGGCGGGGGGAAATACCTAGTATGTTCTGAATCACTGTCTAAAATTGACTTGTTAGTCAGTTCTCCCCAGGGACTCCTGGGGGCACCAAAATGTCCAATAACAGTGTTCCACCCCCCCCAAAAATAACAATTCCTGGTATTCCTGAAGCTTTAAATTTTAAAGGGAACCACAGTTTAAAGGTGAAAAGCCATCATCTGTTTCTAAGCAGATAAACTCTCATGTGCCAGATCTTTAAATTATTACTGTAATAAAGGCATCACCAGCTGTTTACTTATGTCAATCAGTCTGTTGATAAAGGAGCCCATCTAAGATTGCCAGTTTAATCTTCCCCAATCTTGCGAGATAGTTTTTGCATGTTTATTTTTAAAGGCTCTTACGGTAAGAAGTATCTGAACAGCACTTACAACAGCCCTCCCCGACCTGGTACCATCCACTTATTCCAAAGGATTTTTCCATTGTGAATAGAACCTAGCATTTTCTGCGAAAGGTCAAAGGAAATAGTTCTTCTGTCCATGTAAGGAGCATCCCTTTGTTTGGACACAGGAGTGCCAGTTCCATCAATGTGATGCGGGGGAGAGACTTCCTTTGAACCTTGGGAGGGCTCTTGTTCCTTATTTGCCCACCAAAACGTTTTTGCTCCCTTCTGAATGAGTTTTGCACAGCAGCTGATTACGTCTGCTTATTTTAGCTGTTCTGTGCTTTGTTTCCCGCCAAATGGTTTAGGGTTCGCGATTAATGGTTGACATCACCTCTGCAAACTTAGTTACCCGCAGCAGAGCCACAAGGATATCTCACCAATTGATTATGTTCATGGCAGGCAAAACTTTTTGGACGTGAGATTTTAACAGTGGTGGCAAGCAAAAAGGGAACAAGAGAGATGAAGGTTGACTTCAGAAAGCACGATTTAGGGTCTTTTAAAAAACATATATTCATACATTTAATTGTATGTAATATATTCCAGCTATCTAATCAGACAGGAAGAGTTGTAAAGACAATGTTGCCATTTTCTATTTATTCCTCACCTTTCTGTTTATACAGTTTAACCACTTAAGGCCGTTTCGAACCATTAAAGAAATACAGCATGACAGCCACAATAAAATCGCTGCAATTAAAATCAAAACCCGAAATCAACATCAGGATCATTATTCACGGACATCACATCAATTTACCACAGGTCTTTGGATCACGGTTTGCTCAGGTCACTCTGATTTCTGGGGTTCGCGCAACTCCGGGACCTATGAAGCATCCCAACCCGGTGGTTGGCGCAATTAGGGGAAAACGGGGTCAACCAGGTCGCGGCTCGTCGGGTTTTGCGAACACAGCCTTTGTGTCCTTTTCTGCCTCCCCTTCTTCAAAACTGCCCGCGGGAAAACGCTAACCGAGACTTGGCACTCTCCTTTATCAGATATTCCACCAAGCCCAACAAAATCCGACTAGGGGGTTATTTCCCGTATTTCCCCCCTGCCCCTCAGCTCACAATTCCCCCATTCCTGGCCCGGAGGGGGCCCCCGCCCCTCCACCCCCTCCTTTCCCCCCCCTTCCTATCCGCGGGGGGGCCCCCGCCGTTTTTCGCCCGCAGCGGGGGGCAACGAACACAAAGCGCCCGCGTTAAAAAGGCGGGAATCCCGAGGCCGGCGCCTCCGGTGTCCGGGCGCGCTTCCTCGCCCCTCTCTTCCCGCTCCGCCGGTCCCCGAGGCGAGGAAAGGGCCTCTCTCCTCCCGCCCCGCTCGCCCTCCGCGCTCGGCGGGTGCGCGCCGGGGTGTCCCCGCCCCCGCGCGCGCAGCGAAGAGGAGAAGGACGACCTTCTGGCCGGTGGGGGCTGCGGGTGCGCCTTTCTGTTTGCGTGGAAACCGGTCGTGTCCACAGGAAATGGCAGGAAGGGAAAGTAGGCAGCGAGCGAGCCACTAAGCACCCCAAGGAGAAAGGAGGACAGAAAGACAGAAAGAAGTCGGGCGGGGGGGACGTCCAGGTTTCGGCAGTGCCCGAGGAAGCATTGGGAAGGGAACGGAAGGAAAGGGATCCCCCCTCTTGTGGCGGCGGCGGCGGCGGCGG